GAACCAGCATTTAGTTGGTTAACATTAAGTTAGCTGTAGATTTTCCACAGGTGTCTATTGGATTGAGAAAGTTCTCTTCTATTTAACTAGTTTCTTAGAAGTTTTTTTTATCATGAACAGCTGTTGGATTTATCAAATGCTTTTTATGTGTCTATTGAGATTATTGCGTGGTTTACGTCCTTTATTCTGCTTATATGGCCTATTTATGTTGATTGATTTTTTGAGAATTCCTTAAAGATTAGTTGCCATGTGGAACCTGAAACCCTTTCGGTAAACTTCTTGTACTCTGTTGCATTTGAAATTCATTGGTCTGGGCCACCAGGTGGTGTAGTGGTTAAGGTCCTGGACTTCCACATAATTGACCACAGTTCAAGCCCCAAACTTGGCAGCTTGCTTTCTCACTTCCTTCCCACCTCTGGAGAGCACACATGCCCTATAGCAAATTTAAAATAATAATAATGATAAATAAAATAACTATTATTATTTTTCAGATGTTTTTTGTCTCAGGTTGTGTGTTCTTTCCAGAGAGAGAGACAGAAACAGAAGGGAAGTGAGGAATCACCCTCCAGTGAGGAAGTGAGGAATCCCTTCTCCTTTCTTCTCCCAGGACTTGGACATACATACACATGCACCCAGCATGAGGTTTTTTGTTGTTGTTACTGTTTTGTTTTATTTTAATTTTATTTAATTTTATTTATTCATTCATTTTTTAATTGGACCAGAGACACAGAGAAAGAGGGAAAGTGAGAAAGCAAGCCACCAGATCTGGGACTCGAACCATGGTTGGCCATGTGAGGTTTAAGCCACCAGATCTGGGACTCAAGCTGCAGTTAGCTATGTGGGAGTCCAGCGATATAACCTGCTATACCGTGTGCTGGGCTGAAATAAAATAAAACTCATTTCTGCATTGAATTTTTTTTCTTTTAAGAATTATTTATTACTTTTTTTTTTCTTTTTTTTTAATTTAACCAGAGAGAGAAAGAGAGGAAAGGAAAGTGAGAAAGCAAACCACTAGGTCTGGGACTCAAAACATGGGAGTCCAGCTCCCCAACCACCACACAACCTCCTGGCCCCTGTATTAACCTTTCTTTTTTTTTTTTTGGTTAAATCTTTTATTTTTTAATTATTTTATTTGACTTTTATTTATTTATTTTAACTTGACCAGAGAGAGAGAAAAAGTGAGAAAGCAAGCCGCCAGGTCAGAGACTCGAACTGCCGTGTGGGAGTCCAGCATCCTGAGCCACCACATCACCTGCTGGCCCCTGTATTGACCTTATAATGGCTCTTTTAGCTAGATAATTTCGTAACGTGCTGCATTGGTCATTTGAAAAATAGTGGCTCGCCAAGTTATTTTCCTGATGTTGACTTTTTATCATGCAGTAACAGAAATATCAATCATTGTTACCAGCCACCAATCTCATAAGAACAGTAGTTTTGGGAAGATACTAAGCTCACAGCTATAGAAGTTTTATACAATTTAAATTTTTTCTTGAAAGGTTGAATTATAGCATTGGCAGTAAGTACTGTTATTTTTCTTGAAATTATAGGCTCATTATTTTTCTGATACTTGTTTTTATGGTAATTTAGGTAAAGCTTTAGGTTCAAAACACTTTTTTTAAGAATTATTTTATTTGGGACCAGCAGGTGGCATGGTGGTTAGGGTGCTGGACACTCCCACATGGCCAACCACGGTTCGAGTCCCAGACCTGGTGGCTTACTTTCTCGCTTTCCCTCCCCCTCTCTCTATGTCTCCCTCTCTCTGGTCAAATAAATCAATGAATAAATAAAATTTAATAATTATTATTTTTTAAATTATTTTATTTAACTTTCTTTCTTTCTTTGGCCCGAGAGAGACGGGGGGGCAGTGAGAAAGCAGGGTGCCAGGTCTGGGACTCGAACCGCAGTTGACCTTATGGGAGTCCAGTGCCCTTAACTACCACAGCACCTGCCAGCCTCCAAAACACTTCTTAATTATATTTTCACAATCTCTACTCTGTACCCAAGTTTGAATAACCATAGTTTATCTGTCAGTTGTTCTTCAGGTAAAAACGGCATTCCATAAAAAGTGCAGTTCAGGGACCAGCAGTTAGTGTAAGGGCTATGTCGCTGGACTCCCACGTAGTCGACCTCAGTTCGAGTCCCAGACCCAGTGGCTTAAACTCACGCTGGGCGCGTGTGTGTGCATGCCCAAGATCCCAAGAGGAGAATGGAGGAGAAGGGATTGTGGCGTGGCCACCCCCCTGGAGGGTGATTTCTCGCTTTCTGTCTCTATGTCTCTCTCTGTCTGTCTGGTGAGCGCATACGCCCTATAGCAAAAACCTCTCCAAAAAGAAAAAAAGAAAAGAAAAAGTGCAGTTCATTTGTCTCACAACTTAAATGATCACACGGGTGCTTCTGTTTAAGACTACCATCGTTCTGGGGCCAGCAGGGGGCATAGTGATTAAGATGCTGACTCTCATTATCTGACTGGGTTTGAATCCCAGACCTGGAGACTTTAAACTTATGCCAAACTCATGCTGGGCATGTCTGCATGCATGCCCAAAATCCCAAAAGGAGAATGGAAAAGAGATTGCAGCATGGCCGGGAATCCTGCTGGGAAGTGATTTCTCACTTTCTCTCTCCCTCTCTCTGTCTCCAGCATGTTTATGTGTTCTATAGCAAAAATCTCTCACACAAAAAAAGACTACCATACACTACTATATGTAGCAGACGTGCTTTATGTATTCTTACTATTTCATCCTGTAATGAGCGATCAACTTGAACAGTATAGCAAGAACCTGTCTGAAAGAGCCAGGTGTGGTGGTCCCAGCTACTCTGCACAGCAAAACCTTGTCTAAAAACTACACACACACCCCCCATAAAAGTTGGCAAATTAAAAAGATGTATATTCAGGCTGGCCCAATAGCCTAGTAGTTAAAGGAGTTGGATCCCACTTGAATGACCACGTGGTTTGCGTGCAGCCCAGAAACTTGAGAAATACTCCAGGCACATGTGCTTGTATGCCCCAACTCCCGACCCGGTGAAGAGGTAGAGCAGAAGGGATTGTAGCATGACCATGTCTCGTGGGGAGCGCTTTTTCCCACCTCTCTCTATTTCTCTCTTTGGAGAACACATCTGCTCTCTAGCAATTAACCAAAATTTTAAAAAAGTATACACACACACACACTCAAGGGTTGAGATTTAATCATTTTTGCTGTTTCATCAGGGCATTCATAAGTGAAACTGGCTTAAAAAAAAAAAAAAACATAGCACACAGCAGTGAAGACAGTAACTACCACCAATATGTATTTTGTGCCTCTAGCTTGATTGACATTAAGGTGGAAGCAGTTTTACTTACCATTGCATTTACACCATCAGTGCAAGTAACACAGTGAAAAGACAAATCCTGTTTCACTTTTTTTTTTTTTTAAGAATTATTTTACCTAACTGTATTTATTTATCTATTTACTTATTTTAATTTGACCAGAGAGGAACAGAGAGAGAAAGCAAGCCTCCAGGTCCAGGACTCGAACCACGGTTGGCCAGGTGGGAGTCCAGCATCCTTAACCACCTGCCACCTGCCAGCCCCCATCTCACTTTTACCGTGAAAATCATTCTCACCTAGCAGATCCTCAAAAAGGGTCTCAAGACCCCCTCAGGGGTTTATGGACCACTCTTTGAGAACCACTATTATAGACCATTTCTAATTTTCTCCTTTACCATTTTTGACTTTTTGGTGCTAACCTTTGCTCTTCAGTCCTTTTCATCCTTAAAATAGGCTTTTTTTTTAATATATATATACAAGGGACCAGCAGTTGGGGTAATGGCTATGTCGCTGGACTCCCATGTAGTCGACCGCAGTTCAGGACCTGGACCCAGTGGCTTAAACTCACACTGGGAACGGGTGCGTGCATACCCAAGATCCCAAGAAGAGAATGGAGAAGGGATTGCAGCGTGGCCATCCACCGGGGGGAGATTTCTTGCTTTCTGTCTCTGTCTCTCTCTGTCTTTCTGGTAGGCGCACACACCCTATAGCAAAAAACTCTCTAAAAAAAAAAAAAAAGAAAAAAAAAAAGCTTTACAAATATTTTCTGTGATATGGTATCCTAAAATATTTTTTTAAAGAATTATTTTATTGAACTTTTTATTGAACTTATTTATTTTCATTTGACCAGTAAGGGTCAGAGTGAGAGAGAAAGTGAGAAAGCAAGCTGCCAGGTTCAAGACTTGAACCACGGTCGGCCATGTGGGAGTCCAGTGCTGTTGACCACCATGCCACCTGCTGACCCCAGTACCCTAAAATATTAATCAAAGTTTCCCTTTGCTGTTTTCCTCATAGGATTAAAAAGGGTTATTAATTACTTTTATAATTTTTCAGATTCAGAAGAAAGTATTCTCAAAAGAGTATTAACTTATTGGAGATGTAACAAGTTAACTTGCTTGTTGAGGTGGGGCTATCAATGTCTTTGGGTTAGGTTGGCTATTGCTATTTTAGGGTGAATGGGGAGGGATAGATGGAAGGAGAAAATATCTGTAGGAGGGTTGGGACTCCTCGGTTAGATTGAATACCTGGTGAATGAGAAGAGAAAGTCCCTAACCTGACAATTCACTGTAAAACATATCTGTGCTAATGCAGGAACTCCGACCTACCTGGTGCAGAGGAGTCTTGTCTTGACCTGCTTTGGGAGAGTGTTGTCTTGATGCTTTTCTCTTCCTCCTTGGAAAACAGCTGAAGAAATCAGGGGAGAAACCCCTGCTTGGTGGAAGCCTGATGGAATATGCAATCTTGTCTGCCATTGCTGCCATGAATGAGCCGAAGACTTGCTCCACCACTGCTCTGAAGAAGTATGTCCTGGAGAACCACCCAGGGACCAATTCTAACTACCAAAGTAAGACTCAGAGTTGTGTGCATTTAACTGGGATTGGGGGGATTTTCTTGTGAAAAACTCCTTGGGACCAGCAGTTGGCATAATGGCTATGTCTCTGGACTCCCATATAGTCGTCCGTGGTTCAAATCCCGGACCGGTGGTTTAAACTCATGCTGGGCGTGTGTGCGTGCCCAAGATCCTGAGAGGAGAATAGAAGAGAAGGGATTGCGGTGTGGCCATCCCCCCGGGGGGTGATTTCTCACTTTCTGTCTCTGTCTCTCTTTTTCTGGTGAGCGCATGTGCCCTATAACAAAAACCTCCAAAAAGAAAAAAAAGAATCCTTAAGATCATGCTGTTAACTACTGACTGAAAGCTGAGAGGGAGTAGCTTTACAAGTTTATCATTTACAAAAAGAAAAACAAATAATTTAAGGCTTATTCTTGCTTTAACAGTGTCTGCTGATCAAAAGTTAATTTTACTTTGCTGTAAAGATTTTTCTGATACCTGTTTTTATTGTAATTTAGATAAAACTCTAGGTTCAAAACACTTCTTAATTGTATTTTTGCCTACTTCTGGAGATGTTCACCAAACTTGATTTTACCTTGGAACCCAAGGCAGGAGTTTAGAATACTTAATACTTAGATGATTTCTTATTGGGGCCAGCAGGTAGCACGGTGGTTAAGGCACTGGACTCCCATGTAGCTGACCACTGATTGAGTCCTAGACCTGGTGGCCTGAGAATCACACCTGGTACATGTGCATGTATCCCCAAAATGCCGGGGGAGAATGGAGAAGAGGGGATTATTGCATAGCCATTCCCCCCGGGAGGGTGATAGCTCACTTTCCCCTCACCGTCTTTCTGTCTTTCTCCTTTCTGATGAGCACACATACTCTATGGCAGAACCTTTATAAAAAAAAAATTCTTACTGACTTATGCACTGTAACAAAAACACTTTACTTTAGTAATGTGTATTTACCCTAGAAGGTGGTGACTTGAGATTAGACAGCTTTTTTTTTTTTTTAAAGAATTGAACTTTATTGGGATCAGCAGTTAGCGTAATGGCTATGTCGCTGGACTCCCATGTGGTCGACTACAGTTCGAGTCCCGGACCTGGTGGCTTAAACTCAATGCTGGGCACGTGTGCGTGCGTGCCCAAAAGCCTGAGAGGAAAAAGGAGGAGAAGGGATTGCAGCATGGCCCTCCCTCCTGGGGGGTGATTTCTCGCTTTCTGGCAAGTGCACGTGCCGTATAGCAAAAAGCTCTCCAAAAAAAAAAGAACTGAACTTTATTTTTTTATCCATTTATTTATTTTCATTTAACCAGAGAGGGACCCGGGGGGGGGGGGGGAGAA